TCAGCTTCTTCTTTGCGTTTGCTGACATTTGCTAGTTCGGTGCTCTTTTCATCAAGCTGTTCGTTCAACAACTCAATTTTGCGATTCAACGTACTAAAACTGATTTAATTGTTTGATCGTACCATGCTAACAATCATTTTTGCACTGCCACATTCAGAACCGTTTTTGTGTAATAATCAAGAATAATATTGATGGAACATTAGAAAACAAAGCTTCAAGAGGTAAAAATCAACACAAGTTACATGATTCGTTGTGGATTAGTCACAGTCCGTTAACTATATCAAAGTCATTGAGATAATCAAACTGTAGTGCATTGATCGATGATATATTTGTGAAATCAATACTGGTAAGTTTGTGATGCAAAATCATTCTTTTATTAGCAGAAGTTGGATATTTAAACAGAACCTACCCAAGATCTGATTTCTCCATCATGTCGGCTTCTAATTTCGCTAACATCTCTTCAGTGCATTTGAGCGTTTTACTAAGTTCACTATATTTTTCTCGTAACTGAAATAACGATATCACTTTCATCTTCTTCTAAACAGCTTACGTTTGGTTGAGGAAAATGTATAATCGACAAAATCGTTTTTGAATAGTTCCGTACTGATACTGCATGAAATAATTATGTAGTTTCGCCGAAAAGATGAGATATTATAAGCGATTCGTAAGAATCACATAGGTGAATGATCGAAATTAATTACATGCTTGTACGCTTTTTCAAGTTCTTCACGATTCTGGAACTCAGTGCGTGGTTGTTCAAGGATGAATGATCTTCGTGTTGCTTCTTTATCGCTTTGCAAATTTACAACTATTACTTCCGTCTTCTTGAGCGTTTCTTCCAGTTTTGTATTTCTTTAATGCACAATCATTTCATAAACTTATCTTCATTGAAGCACATTTCAAATGAATCGTCTTAGCGAATCCAAATAAAAATTCTGAAGATTTCACTTTCTCTTTGAATAACTGAAAACTTCATTGGCACGAAGTGCCGAAATGAGAGGATTTTTATTCGGAGAGATGAATGCGTACCGTTCATGCAGGTCGTACACTTCCTTTCGTGCACTCTTGAGTGCAGTTTCATAATCGCTCTTCAGCTTTGAAATCTCACACTCAAGTTCTGCTATTCTGCAATCGAATAAAATTTGGTATGTATGCTCGTCAAATCATTCATTATAACAATGAATGAACTATTGTCATTATTGAATAAGCATATCGGTGAAAAAATGACGCTAATGAATCAGCTGTTGAGGAGATCATATTTAAAGATAAACTTTGCATCGTTCAAAGATGAGCAAATCCAGTGAAATGACTATTTGCTGAAAGAACTCAAAGCGAATACGAAAACACCAATGAGAATACAATCACAAGCAAACATGCAATACGCGAATTATTGATAAATGTTGCAGTTTTAAAATAAATTCGGCATGCGCTTTCAACTGGAACAAGGTACATACATCGTCGAAACTGAATATCCCCTCACCTATTCTTACTGTCTGCTAACCATTGTCGGTGTTCTCCAAGGCTCCATTCGAAATCGTTTCTTTCCTTTCGTAGTCGTTCATTTGCACTTTCCTTCTCAGACAATTCATTGTTCAAATGACTTATTTTCTCTTGAAGGTTGAGGACGCTTCAAAGGTAATAGCAATTCTTAATCAAGATCAACAGCATTTTCATGCATCATGCCATTAATACATATTAAAGCTTATCGTTAAGTAGTAATTTTCGTGCATTGCGCGAATCATCATTACTGCTTCATGGTTATTATGAATATTCATTTTGAAAATTCCTTTAGTGAACCGACTTATTGAAATTGTATTTCACTGACGGTTCACCTTCATAAACGTATCGCTGTTATCGAATGCGATGATAATATTTCGTTGAACAAAGATTTAAAACAATAATAGCATAAAGGAAACATTCGGACACCTTCACGAGGTCATCGTTAAAGGAATTAGAACTAGCTATTAAAAGACATGCACAAAGGAACCAGCAATATCATTCCTGCTTTTAATTAGAAATTATTTAAATGATGAAAAATTACGGAAGTATCGACCATTTGTTAACTTTTCTCAAAGAAAATTCACCAAACTTTGCATTTATTTAGCAATGGTCACACTTATCCATTGGCATGTCTTTATCAAGTAGATATGTCAATTCTTTTTGTGTTACGTTTGTATTGTTTTAACGATCAGACGTTAAAGTACTCCGAAAAATCAAACGGATGAAACATGGGTAATTCATAAGTCGCATTGCATGCAATGTGAAGGCAAAATTTGAAGAATTCAACCATAAGAGAGGAGCTTTCCAGTGTAAAGAACCGAAGGCAAAATGGGAAAGAGCAACGCAAAGAAAAATATTGAAATGTCATAACTATGCGTCACTTCATGAATGAAAGAAGCACCTTTTTTCACTGGTCACGCGAGGTTCAGTAGAAGACTGTACGGAGGCATCAATTTCCTTAAGCTTTTGCTCAAGTTCATCTTTCCTCGCTTGCAGCTGCAAAAAATAAATAAATTCAATTCAAATGCATTGAATACTATTTAGAAGCAAGTTTTTATCATTTTAGAGCGGGAGGTTTTGCAATCCATTAAGGCATATAATGATCTCCGTTAATTTGTGTATATGACAGATTGGGGAGACTAAAATTTTTGAGTAATTACCTCAAAACATTCATCGCGCAATTCTTGCATAGCGTCCTCTTTGTCCTTCAGAGAGTTCGTTAGTTCCTCATTGCTGTAAACAATCATTTGATATGCATGATTAATGTTCGTCGGGGAACGGGCTCCCCGTCGGGTACCCGAGGGGAACGCGGGAGCGCTCCCCCCCGGCGCAATTTGCTCCTGGCTTTTCTGAGGGGACCACACCGTCCAGTTTTCTCCCCGCGGGTACCCCTTCCGAAAAATGCTCCCCGACGAACACTATGAATGATCATAAGAGAGATGTGTGCATAGCATTGCATCAACAAAAGATTAAGATTGAATGAGGAAATCAACTTCTGTTTTACAACGTTGAGTGATTTCGAAATGTTACGAATAAAAATACATAATACAGACCGCTTGTTTGCATCCTCAGTCCATTGGATTTGCTCACGAATTAGTGATTCATCATCCTTACATTTATTGCTCAAATTCTCAATCTGTTCATTTTTATCGTTTATCTCATTCTTTTGTTCATCGATCAAACGCTCCAAATGTATAACTCTTTCAGTCAACTGAAAATTTTAATCTTGATTATTGTTGTGCATTTGATTTCAGAAAACTTCCATGAGTCCTCTGAATGCTGGATCACAATTAAGGATTGTCCTAAGAAAACGAAATGATTCATGACAACGATAATGATCATATAAAGTGGAAAACATTCGAAAGGTGGAATACGACTGCCCAGAGACGATTGAGCTGGGAGATTTCTGGAATATCAAACTTGAGATAGGCATGACTAAAATGTCGGAAAGTGACAGTAACATTGGGAGAAGGAAGGAGGTGATCAACAGTTTCTTCGGATGAAACAATGATCCAAAAGAGAGCGAAAGACGTGGAGCTAGGAACTAAAGACTCGCATTGAACACACTCCCCAATATGACTGCTACAATCGCAACTTCTCTGTTGCGATTGTAGCAGGTTTACGTTGCGGAGTAATCCATGCGCAATTGTAAGAGCACAAAGTTCGCTATTACGAGACATGGAGGATAAATCTATGCGCACGAGAAAAAGCATAAT